TTGTCAACATTGTAGGTAGATAAGATATGTAGTGAAAAAAAATATTGACTTGTATCTTTACAAAATATAAAATAGCTCATTATTTTTATGTCATTCGGAACAAGCTCGTTTCAGGGTTGTCGTTTCTGAATGGCAATATTGGTCTGCGGTGTATGAATGGCGTTTTTTGAGATACTCGATAGAATTCTTTCGTTTCCTTTTGTTGCCTTCTCGCTTTCAATTTCCTTTTTCCTTTTGCCTCTTTAGGTCAAATTATATACTTGATGTTCTGTGTCGAGTCAAACGATAAACACTTAATATTTCGAAGAAATTATTAAATTTTTGTATAACATGTCGACGTAGTAACTTTATATACTTTTTCTTCTTTATTTATTTAAGTTATTATATTAAACTTATTAAAGTATTTATTCATGCCTACATATTATTTTTTTATTATTTGCTTTCTCATTGCATTGCTTATTTCTCTCATTGTTAGAGCGACTTTCCTTAAGAGAACATAACAAACTTCTCTCTTTCCTTCTCACTTGGTTCCTCACATTTCTCGTCTCCGCGCTAGATTTCTTTACGCGGCGGACCAACGATCCATTGTCGACTCGGGCTCAGTAGGTAGGAGTCGGGTGCAGAAGAGGAAGAATTGTCGCACTGTAGAACCGAACCCCTACCGACAACTCGAAAGGAAATGAGGTGCTCCCGACAGGACCTATCCCAACGAAAAAGAAGTCACCGGACCGTGCGAAGGAAGAAAATCTTTCCTTACGCGAATCACGCGCGCCAACTTCGTTGGTGTCGGCACCAACATGTTGACCGCGTTTCTTCCCTTAGAGATGGAGTATCATATCATGAGATTAAGATATATATATATATATATATATATATATATATATATAAGTAATCCTCTACGATGATGTCTTATTTCCTTATTTCATGGCACGAATATCTCGCTTATATTGTAGAAAAAAATATGACGTTGAAAAGAGATGCGAGTGTTAAGCATCCGTTAACATTTCTGTTATTTTTATACATTATTACTACTTATGTCACTTTTATTTGTGACAATTCTTATTTATCGCCGATACAAATGCGATTACGTCGCTCTATCAATACGCACCGTGTCAGTGGGATTAGAGATTCATTTTAATCTTTTTTGTATTTCTTTGGGCGCGTGGCTCGACAAAGGCACGAGAGGTCCTATATGTAAGAGAACGAAAGCGAGAGCCCACTTCGAAAGGTGTTTTGGATTTGCCAGGTGCGAAGAAACACGCGCGAGCGACCAGTATTCTTATTCTTGAGTGTTTCTCCCGCCGGTCAGGACAGAGGGACCAAGGAAAAAGATCCCTTTGGAGAATCACAACTCGGCCATTCAGTTTTCATGCTACCCACGAATTCGATGATGTGAGGTTAACAAAGTGAATGTTATCAACTTTACGGGAGGGAAGAATCATGTTAAAGGTAGAAAGAGGAAATTTGCTCTCGTGCCAGCACTAATGTGGCTTTAGTCTACAACTTTTAGATTCTTTTATATATTTATATGTGAATTTTACTTTCTATTTCAATAACTTCGACGAACAATGCCAATAAAAGTATCTAACCGAATAATTTGCATATATAAATTAGAAATTAGACGCTTCTTCGCGTGCGATATGTCGGCTTTATGTGAGGTGAGAAAAGAATCGGCTTTATTTTTTCCTATCGGCGAGATAACGAGGCATGGACCAAGAGTGACACCTGAGGTGTCGACGCCATGACACGTTACGAGGGTTGCCATGCCAGACATCCATCACTTCTTTGTATAGCAACCCCGTGACACCTGGTTCTGCGTCCCCCATCTCCACTGTAAACCCCTACGATTCCTTTTTAACCTCCCTTCCATAGTCCCATGGTCGTATCTATCTCCGAAAACTGCTTGATTTGCGATATGGGCGGAATTATGAGCAAATAGATGTATGGAAATTCTGATCGTGCAATTATATTTTTTTGGTTTGACAAAGATAAGTTTAAAAATTGATAGAAAAAAAGTTGATAAAAAAAGAATTTTCCAAGATCAAATTTCAGTGAAGCGAATTAAATATGTCTACATTTTTAAAGCGATTTATTATATATTATTTATAAGTAACTTGCACTTGTAGCAGTCAAATCTATGTTGAAAATAAGTGAATCACCTTTAAGAAATATTTGAAGAATGGAGTCTCGTTCTTGCTAAAAGTCACTGTTAGTCCCTCGAGACAGATTACTTGCTTCGGTGGTTTTGAAAAAAAAAAGGCAGAAGTAACTGGTCGGTCCTCCACTTCGTTTCCAACCCCCCGGTCGAGGGTCCCTTCATTGAGAACGATCGCTAAATCCAGGTGTCCCTATCCTGCTACAACCTCAGAGACCTTCATATTTCACTCATCTCGTCAATGGCAAGGAGGAAACCAGATGCAGGTGTGCTGGTTTCGTTCGAAGCGAATCTCGTGCAATAAATAGGATGCATAGCAAAAGAAATGAAGCGTGGGCGGCAAGAGGAATTTTCAGACCTCGACCGCTGGCTTTTATATGGCAAAACTTCCGAAATGTTAGACCGATTAGATATACCCACTAGAAAAGGGCTGACACGCGACTAATGTCGGTGAATCGTCAGCGGAAATTCATTGTCATCATCGTGATGATTTCGGCGTGTTTCACCATTATTGTGAGCCAGCAAAAAATTTTAGCTCCCAATTTCGCTTTTATTCAATAGCCGCGTATTTTGCATACGATATCATCGAATAGATTGTATAAAAACATAACATATGTAATATTTGATGTTCTATATTAAGAGTATTTTAATATTCTTAATTTTTAATTTTTTATATATATACCTACATAATGTAAAATTATAACCCACATATAATTATACTATAAGGATTAAGTATGTAACGTTTTTGGAAGTTTTGAGACATGTCATCTTCGACGCAAACAAGAATTTAATTACTATTATCGTCACGCTCGTCAAACCATTTCGGGAAAACGTCTTCTCTTTTGGTGAATATCGATCGATCGACACCTTCGGTGACCTGACCCGTCGACATATAAGCTCGGCATTACTTTGGGGATGGTTTGAGGGAACTCATCGATAGCCACCGACAGAGGGAGGTACCTCTCATTAATAACCGGTGACTCGGCGTTTATATAAATAATCCTACGCGGTCGCGCAGGCACTCACCTGCGATTCGGTCGATCGCTCACTATCCTGACGTGAAAGAAGCTTCTCCCCCCATCGGTTGTACGACCGATTCATCCACCGCCTTCGTCGTGCTCTTTCGCTCGCTCGCGTGTCTATTCTCTCTTTTTTTGTCCGTGCCTCATTTTCCCCTTCGGATCGCCACCGTCTCCTTCCTCTCTTCCTCTTGCGGATTCTTCAATCGGAATTCCGAAAGGCACTAGAGCAGGGCGCTCCTCTAGTCACTGCCGAGTTTATGAATGCCTGCCTGCGACGTCCGGTCATTTATTTTGGCAGCTATGCTCTATACCCAGAAATGCTCGCACTAATGCTCCAACTAATGCTCCAGTATCCGAGACGTGCGTACTCGCATCTATGTATATCGTACTCGTTCTTATGTCGTGAGTTCTTGAAATTAATTAAAAATTGATTATCTACATTTTTCAATATGATAAAATTCTTCCTTATTATTCTACCAATATTTTTCCAAGTTCTTGCTTAATTTCGGTCTTTTTTCCCCTTCTCTGTATATTTTCTGTACGATTTAAAAGCTAGTAAGAGAGAGAAATAGCTTCATATATTTTTTATTACTTGGATTTCGAATGCATTGGATTATCGAAAAAAAAAAACTAACGCAAGTTGCAAGACCGGAACGTGAAACGTCACGGAATTCCGAAAGTGCGAGAAGAGACATTAAAACTATTTTCCGTGGCATGATACGTCTTCGCATAACGGCGTAATAAAAGTTTCCATTCTTGCAAATGGGTAAACTTTATTCGCGAGACTTTGTCGCGAGTGGAACGACGGCCCCTTTCTGCTCCTCTGCTTTGGTATATTGTCCCCGTTTGGTCCATCCGCGCGTACATACTTCGGGGGTGACGCAATTATTACTTGTCCGCTTTTACGACGCAAGCGACGCTGACCGGCGAACGAGGAGAGGAACTTGAAATACAGAGAGCCACGAAAGTTTGAAAGAATTGTGGCAGTGGAATTGGACATACAATTTTTTTTTTAAACTTCCTGAATTTTGACCTTCTGTGTAAAGCTGTTTCCACGAAATTTTGCATTCTTATTAAATTAACAATTATGTAGTTATATATATAATAAAGAAATAAATTTGTAGGCTGTTATACTTATATTGTTATACTTATACGGATATATGCGGATGCTATTATTTGTCATTTTTAATCCACTGCAAATTTTGTGTACATTGACGCGAATATATATTATGAATCTCCAGAGATGTATTCCGTATACGCAAACGTTGTTTGTTAAATATTCGATTTACATTGCCAACAGAGCAATGTGTTTATCTTGTCTACTGCTTGTCTTGAAAACTATGTGTCTTTGTACCTATATGATTTCGCATTCGGTTTCATTCACGCGGTTCTTTCGGAGGGGGTGCGCGGGTCGATCGTATCGTAAAATATTTAACGAGGCAGTTCGGCGAGACGTCTTTGTAAACGGTATGAATATCGCAATAAAATATATACGTATACGCTTATATATCGGTATAGTGGCGAATGTAAATTCAACGAGTTTCCGTCCCTCGTCGTCGGCTCGTTTCTTGCCTTCTCCCTGCCTTGATTTCGCTCGTTGCGGTTGCCTGCGAAACTCCATAAAAGATATGATCGAGGTATAACGCGGATAATTTCTCTTAACGCCCGACATAATGTTTAATTTCAGTTCCCGCACCGTCTTTTCGCACCCAGTGCGCACTCCTTTCCTTTTCCTCGCCTATTCTTCTCGCGATTACTTACATACATATGGAACATCTCGACGCGATCATTACTTTTATACGCATTTCTCTTTACTGTTTTAGATGAATGGCGACTTGTTGCGACACATCGGCTGAAGATGCGCGTCATACGAACGGTGAGTCTTATGACTTGGATTCTCTTCCTATTTCTCGTTTCTCTCACAATTTTCGTATAGTTTTCATTTAAGGAGCAATTCTATAGTGATACAATAGACAACAGTCTCTGTGTCGACATTATACATGATATATTGTAAAATAATCTACTGAATAATGATAATCCATTAAAATTTTCATTTTTGTTACATATAGATATAACATATGGGTCATTCTACGTGAAAACGGATAATTGTCTATATTGAAAGTCTATATTAATACTTATATTTTGAGCCTAGAAAATAATAAATTAAAAATTCTTCTGGACATGGGGTGTCCGTTTTCACGTGGAATGACCCATATACAATTAATAGGCAATAATATAATATAAGAGGGTAAATTAATTTTGAATTGGATTTATTTGTGCTTTTTCACATGCGTTGCACCGTTCGTTTTATATGCATGGAAATAGAAATCTGTATGCATGGATGATCTCGCTTGCTCATATCTTTCTTTCATTCGCGAATATTGTACGTGTAGGAGTGCGTGACAATACCTCTTGGGGGGCGAACTGTCAAAGAGACTAAATGAAGGATCAATTGAGGAAAGCAGCTGTGAATTCCGAAAAACTTAATATGTGATTCTAAATCCCACATGTCGTGAATTGATTTTTTAATTTCAAAATAATTAAAATTATTAAGAAAATTAAATGAAAGCGCGACTTGATCAAGTTATTTTATATTTGGATATTTATTGTATTGTGATCGAAATTCAGATTTTATTTGAATTTTAGTTTGAACATTTAATAATTGTGGGAGAGGAAAAGTAAGAAATAATCCTATTTTAACGCATTTGTCTCTTTCTTCTCTGATGATCTTCGAAATCTTCCTCGTCTACTACGTTAATCCGCGATGTATGAAGAGGAAGCAAGTTGAGGAGGTAAAAAGAGGTTGGGTGGCGGGCGGGGGGGTCGGCAGGAAGTCAGCAGAGGGTGGGAGGTTGGTCGGGGCATACTCCGAGGGTAGAAGAGCATCCCTCTTGATGGCGTCACCTCGAGGGCTCAATTAGCGCTAGCACGAGTGTCATTTCGTCGCGGTTTCCGCGTACTGACTGCCGTTGACTGGCGTTTTCTGCCAGTGGTTTCGTTTCTTCCGCGTAGACAGTTATATATGTATATAGCGTGCGTGATGAGGTGGCTGTACATCCCGGCGAGTTGCCCCTGCAGACTCCTTGTACCGATCTCCCTCGTCCCTCGCTTCCCCGCCCCCACGGGGGATCTTCTTCCTCTTTTATCCGCTGTGCTCCGCCTCCCGGCCCTACCGGGAGCGCATTATCCAATTTTCTAGCAGATATTTCGTGATATAATAATTGGACATTCAGCGCGAAGCGCCATCCTTCCCGTCTCTCGCTCGTCGGCTTTCAGGACGAAGGACGGTTGAATTATATTCTTCGGGGAGGATAGCGCGAGAGATCTCCCCGAGAAGGAGGGAAGGGCAAACCGCAACGATATCCCGCGAAGGGGGCGGGCTATCAATAGAAACATTTTCCATCGGTGCGGAATGGCGTTGGATAGTGTGTGTTTTATCTCGCCGTCTCCGTCTTTTTCCGTTACTTCTCGCGCGTGGAGCGCGTCTCTACCGTCTTGTTCTCTTTCATTCGCGTTCTGCTCGGCTCCACGGTTATTTCTATAACGACACTTTATGCAACGTTAATTATTGTCGGCGTAATGAGCTCGAGGAAGTCTTCCAAGATGCAGCCTGGTCGTCATTTCTCCCTCTCGCTTCTTTTTCGCTACTATCCGCCGTCGTTGTCGTTTCTCTTTTCCACTAGTTAGTGGCGCCGGAGTGTCAAAGGGCTCCGCTCTCGTCATTCTCGGGACGGATACCTCGCGAATCTCCGCATTACCGCACACTTCCACGGAGCTGATCTCGTTAAGGGACTCGTTCGCTCACGCCCCGCCCGTTCGCGCCTTGTTAGCGTGTCTCGCGAAGTTCATTTCTATTTTTCCTTTCGGGAATTGGTTCTAGATTGCTGAGGATATGATTTGAGAGATAATAATGTTTTTCGTCATGATGATTCGCCATTTATGTGATTGATACATATAATCTTAGAATTATGGAACTATATTAGCACACCGAACGATGTAACTCTCAATTGAATTTTCCGTTGAATCTTTTATTTATTTATATGTAAACATTTCGGAACCTCGTCTGCGAAATACGACAGTTTTAGTTGACATAAATTACGATAAATTACTGTACATTTAATTAAATTATTAATTATTTTATTAAATTTTTATTAAAATTCGCTACATCTCAAAGTTTGCAAAAGCACGAAATAATTCGAGACGGTGAGTTTACCTTTGTTTCACCGCACCCGGAGATAAACGCGAAAAGCCTGTAAAAACAGGGCGATGTAGTCGAAAGAGGGACCGCACAATACCATCGTTAGGGCCTAGCGCAGGCCGATGACAACTCTTTCCCGGTATACCGTGTATCGAGTGTCATTCAATTGCGCATCCCAATTAAATAACCGGCAAAAGGGCGACATAGCGTCGTGAAGCGTCTCGACGCCCCCTAATTGCAAGTCTGAAGGAGGTTAAAGCATTCACGGAGGAAAATGAGAGAGATGACGATGTACAACAACTAGTTTGATTTCACGAAGGGCTGTTTCGCAAGCAACAACTGGTTACTTGGTCAGCACTTCAAAAATGCTTTTTTTCAATTATTAAATTTAATTTTTTCTTTTAATGAATTTAATGTTATTTAAGATTTAAACCAAAAGAATTAAATTTGGCTAAAACAATACACGGAAAGAACGATTTTGCTGGAAGACCAAAAAAAAATCTGAAAATAATTTTTGTTAGGTCATCATCAAAATAATTTTGTTCGAAAGTCTGATTGCTAAAATATCAAAACTTTTTATAGCAATGCTTATTATTCTTGAGTTTTCGACAAAATATTTTGATGATGACCTAACGAAAATTATTTTCAGATTTTTTTTTGGTCTTTCAGCAAAATCGTTCTTTCCGTGTATATCAGTTTACATGAAAGATAAATTTGCTTAACTGAAAGAAAGTTCGACTCTTAATTGTTACTTCAATTATTGAATTCTTTATAAAAAATAATAAGACACAATTACGACGCGCGTAAAAAAGTAACGGAACATTTGCATATATTTTCATATTTTTTCAGGCACGTTTGTATGCGTTTCGATGTTTCCCTCCGTGCTCTCATCGATATGTTTCGAGATCAGTTGAGCTTTCCTCTCGAGTATAATCTCGACAGTGCGAACTTTTAACGGTAGGATTACTGTGTGCGCGTAAAGAATGAAATCGCGATTCACGGGGGTGGCAAGACGCGCGCGTTCTACCGTCGCTTCCGACCGTTTCGGGGGAGGGAGAAAAAAAAATATTCGCCGGTTTCAGTGAAAACGGCAACCGGGTTAGGTCTTTCAGGTCTGCTCGTGATTAGCGGCACGCCTGCGCACGTCTGTTCGCGGAGATGCTGCAGGGTGTCTCTTGTGCGCTATTAAAAGGTAATGTAATTAGCACAGGCAAACGAACTAATTACCAGAATACGAACGGCAAGCGAGACGCACAAAAGGACTCCCCTTGCCGCTCCCCTGCTTCCTCAACCCCTTTGGATTCATCTGTGCCTCCTCTTTTCTTCGTTACTCGTTTATTTCTCGTTGTAGACGCATCCGTTCCGTGTCGACCACATGACGACGATGACGTGCGTCATCTACGATACTCAGTTAACGACTGACTAATACGGGCACTATTTCTGAGAAATGTTAATTAAGGACTGCTCCGTCTGCTGTCGAAAAAAGGAGCGAGATAGTCGCAAATGCGAATTTTCTAGGATAGAATTTATAGTTTAGTAATATATAGATACAAAATTATTTTATAAATACATGTGCAGGAAGAGATACGTAAATCTACTCAATTTTCTATTATAAATAATTTTGAGCAACCAAATGAAAAAAATATTCCGTCCGTCTGGAATATTTTTTCCTTAACCATTCTAGGCGCTTATTCTCTGTCTATAATGAATACTTTTCGGAGAACGTTTAATATTAAAGTCATCTTTCGGGAAAGGATTAAGGTGTCGCGCATTGTAGCTCACCGTTTCTGGACGATCGTCACAGCGAGGTCGGCTGCGTGCAAAATGGAAACGTCGTAATTAGTATGCGCGTCCGCGTATTATGCACGCAACGGCACTCACTGCGCACAACTATATTCTGCAGTCGTGGCAGTTCACGGCGGCGGCGGCGGCGACGACGGGCGGGAAGCGCGAGGAGACGTCGCGACGCGCTGGGAACGCGGTGTTGCGATTCACACTTACGTTCGCCGAGTCCTTCTAGCCGGAAACGTCGACGAGGCGTGCTACGTACACGCGGTTAGACAAACGCGTCCCTTAACGCGAGGCGCGCGTACGAGCACGCGGGGGGAAGTACGAGTACCAAGGGCCCGTGCTGCTCTTGTGCGTGCTCGCGTGCTTGCTCGCGCGCGATGTCATCCCGGGTGTCGCGGTGCGTGGCCGTGTGTCACGCATCGTGAAATACGACGCATCACGCGCGACATGTCCCGCGACGTGAAAATGTTCGTTGCACCCTTCGCGCTTGCACTTTCACGCGAGGGCGCGCACATGGGCGGAGAATGAACCAGTCGACTTTACGTGTCCGAATTAACTTTTTTGCTCTCCTCGTCTCGATGATAATAATAAGTTACTTTCTGTGATCATGAATGACAATAACGAAGGTATATTGTTATGTGAAGCCATGTTTTCTGATTTCATTTTTTTTTATATCGCTATATTTATTTTTTTATTTTATTCGTTTATTTTTTATACATATGCTGCTATAAAGAGATTATTAAATAACACGTTTACGTATGATTGAATCTGCGCAACACGCCTCTGTATATCGTTCTGGAATTTATCCCAGACGTGTGAGGCGTGTCTACAAGCTTTTCCCTGTCGTTGATCCGCTTCTTCCGCTACCCTTTCGTATCTGCGAGAAG